TCGGCCGGCGAGTGACGGACGACTTTAATCATTATTATCGTACGGTGGCTAGGGACCGTATGATAATAATATTTTAGTCTTCGTCGCTCGCTCCGACGAGCTTCTTCGGTGACCGTCTTCGCCCTTCGCCACAGTCGTCTTCGGCACCTGCAGCACAACACCTATAGCGCACGTCATCGATCACTAGCCAACCGTCGCCGACCGTCATCGCCGCTCTCGCAGCCGTCGTGGTCGGGTTCCGTCCGCTTCCGCAGTCGTCTTCGCTTCCTCGAGGAAACGCGCCCTCGACCCTTGTCCCCCCGCAGGACCGGCCGCGAGAACGTTGTGGAGGTGACCATCTTATGCACCACCCACTCGCCATCACGTACCCCCCCCCCCCACTTCGCCTCGGCTTGACTGATGTCTTTTTTTTTTTCTTACAATTGATTGTAATTTATTCTGCCACACTTTTGAGCACCTTTTATATTTTTTTACATTTTAATTTTTGTTGATATCATTATTCGACATGTTTTTTGCCACTTTGAGCACCTTTTAATTATTTGTGTTAGTATCACTGTTTACTGAAATTTATTCTGCCACATTGAGCACATTTTCATTTTTTTTTAATATTATTATTACAGTTTTTTTGCCACGTTGAGCACCTTTTTTTGTTGTTAATATTATTGTTTCTGTTTTTTTGCCGCATTGCGAGCATTTTTCCTATTTTTCTTTATATTGCTTATTAATTATTTTCGGCATAAATGTTTCAAAATTTTAAAGCACTCGTTAATTATATATCATTTATAATATTATTGAATTATCATTTATCTCACACCTCTAATGTTTTCTGTTTATTTTTTTTCAAAATTATAAACCACGGTGTTTAAAAACGATATTATTTTTATACTTGATATTATTTATTACTGTATTCAAATTATTATTAAAATGTATAATATAAAATTGTTATATTATCTATAAATTATCCAGTAATAAAATTATATTCTTTATACAGTAAAATGTTGTTTTTATATTTTTTGTATTAAACGGTAGGTATTATTTTATTTATTACAACAGAAAAACGATGATGAACATGGATCATGATCGTGGTAATGTGGGACCTATGAAGAATATTAACCAATAACTTTTTGGATACCAAACCTCAAAAAAATATTATATTGAACGTTTTGTCCTCGCCAAAGTATAAGTGGAAGATATTGTCATGCACCATATATATGTACATTGTACACATCATTGTAAAATCAATAAATTCATCGCCCGGCTAAGAGTCTAAAATAATAATAATAAAAACTATTGTTTTCGATATTGTTGAAAAAACACCATAGTACATCACATTGTGCAGTTTACGTAAAATTAGGTACTGCGCTGACCCGTCCATCGATCCACAAGTGGTCTGACGATAGAATCCGCACACGCTGTGAATTATGACGATGATTCCTGTCGTGTACACAATACGATTAGTTAAAACATTCGGAACTCTATAAACTAATATTTTAATATACATTTAACATATAACAAGCAAAGAAAAATTGAAATAAAAAAAACACACACACACTTCTATATACACTAGGTAGTAACATATTTTGTTGATGAGGGGAATTATTGATCGATAAGTAAAAAAAAACGCAATATTTTAATTATGCACTGAACGTTATTTGCATCGCCGAAGATAATATATAGACGTCGTAGACCAGACTGTAATTGACATTCTTAAACTGTAGACCACAGTGGCGGTTCTATCTAAAATTAAAATACTACATTTTTTATGAAAAATTATGTATAAGAATAATAATTATAAATAACGTAGCCACGTAAGTATGTTCGTATCGTGTATACCTACTTGATATTTGATTTGTAATATAAAACAAGTATTAAAATATTAATTATGATGATATGAGATATTTCGTAAAAAAAAATGGTAGGTAGGTATTCGAAAGAAAATTGGTAGGAGGTCCGAGATTTTTAAAAGTCTTCCATCATATTCACCAAAATGTTAAGAACCGCTGTAGCTGATTTACTGAGTACCTACCTATGTGTAATAATATCTGATAATTCTGTAAGAGTTGATAAAATACGGTAAAATGTTAATGACGATTATTTACCAACAACATTGTATGCACAGAATTAATCATTTTAAAATTATCAGAAATTTACTTGGGACCGTTGCTCGATAATTAGAAAAAAGCTACAATTAAGTATTTATTTTAGATTTAATTATTATATTATACCTACTTATTTGTCATTTGTCATTTGTCTCCGTCACAGTGTCTCAGACCAATCCTTTCATATAAAAAACGCACAACAATAAATTATGGCCGAAAGCGCATTTTCGGCCATCTCGCTGATTTAGAGAAAGATGATGCGGTTAATAAACTTGACCGAGATAAATGTTTTTACCAACAAAGTTGTTCTTATAATTAGGTAGATTTACAAATTAGCTATTTTGAATTTTTGAATTTTCAGTAGAAAAAATATTTTTTTTATTTTACATGTAGTAGGTACAACAAGTGTCTATATAAATTATTTTTAAATATTGATAAAAAGTGATTTCGTCCGTCAGGTCTTTACTGTTACACTCTGTATTTTAAAAAAAATTAATGCATTCTGTAATAAATCATATTTATTTCAGGATGTAATAAAATTGAAAAATACAATGCCCATCACAATTAAGATTGTTAAATATATTATGCCAATATAAAGTGCTCAATTCTTTGAAATATTAAAATATTAATATATTTTTCTTTTAATATGCACTCTTATAGTATCAGTTATTTATACTCTGTTATTTATACATTTTAACGATCGAGTGAAATGTTAGAGGTTGTATAGAAAACTAAAAATAATTCAAAACAGATGACCATCTTTAGAGCAGAATCGTTTGGAAATGTCAATGTCTATTGAACGAGAAATTTTTGAAATTTCATTGAAGATAAAAATTTGTTTTTTTTTTTTTAATGAAAAGTAAGATGTCTCCCCATATAATTTATTACAAAAAAATACATTCAATTGGCTGGATTTTTTTCTATATTTTTAAATGTGACCCTATTCATACTCATTGCGGGGTGAATATAGGGTCACAGAATCATTTTGCTCTAAAAATGTATTCACACTGTCCACGGGGGCGAATAGGGTTAGTAAAATAAATTATATTAATATAATATATTATGTTCGACGTCGCGTTTTACTGTCGTCTTACGATTTAAATCTATTTACTCTTCGGCCGACGGTTTAATGGGATTTTTCGCCACACGTACGACATTATTGTGTCACCTTAATGGGTACTATACAGGTACCCAAGTAATGTTATATTTTATTACAATATACCCATAGTGTATTTAATATTATAGTATAGACAGTATAGTAGGCACGATAAACTAAAAGCCCGCGGAAATCAATCCGAACACTCTGCCGAAAACTGGTATCATGTTAATTACATTATAATATAAATACGCATATTACTAATGGCATTAAGATTTTCGTCGATGTTCTTTTTGTTTTCATCGAATTCGTTCACGATTTGAAACTAATAACCATTATAATATGGAATTAGGCAACCGTGTTGCCATTAAGCAACTTTTATTACTATCGGACACAATATAGCCCAGTCAAATTAGACCAAAAATCGACAAAGTTCGGAACTAATTCCACGAAAGCAGGAGTTTGATTTATTTTTTAGTTTATACCTCACTGATGAACATACTAAAAGTCCTGACACCTACCCCCTGTGCGTAGCTCTCTTCAAAGGGTGGCGCGCCCCTTTCACTATTTTCGCTTATAACTCGTCAGCTTTTCAATTTACAATAAAAATACCTATGACCAAAATTAAAGACCATAACATTTAACATAGACTTCATTTACTTTTTGTATATATATGTTGCAATAAGCGTTATATTTTTAAAAAATATAAAAAATAAAAAAATTTTATCTTTTTTTTTATCGTGTTTGAGGTAAAACCATCAATGATACGCTAAAATGACTTATGACAAAAGTTAACGAGCAGATAATTTTACATAATATAACGTTAAATTATTTTAACAATTTCAATTACCGTAAGTAATAGTGTTTTTTATATCAGTAGTGACGATATAATTTAACAATTTGTTGACAATTACAAAATACAAGAATCAGAAATTTAATTACAATCTACTAAAAAAAAATTGCCGAAAGCTGAATTTTGGTATGTGAGTTGTTTATACCTTACTTATAAACATACCAAAAGTCCTGGCACCTACACCTTGTGCGTAGCTCTCCACCCCTCTACAAAGGGTGGCGAGCCCCTTTCACTGTTTTCGCTTATAACTCGTCAGATTTTCAAGTTACAATAAAAATACTTATGACCAAAATTAAACACCATACAATTTACCATCGACTTAATTTACTTTTTGTATATATATGTTGCGATAAGTGTTATACTTTGAAAAAAATATAAAAAATAAATTTTTTTTATCTTTTTTTTATTGTGTTTGAGCAAAACCCGTCAACTATACGCTGAATCGACCTATGACAAAAGTTAACGAGCAGATAATTTTACATAATATAACGTTAAATTGTTTTAACAATTTTAATTATTTTAAGTCTTAAAATGTTCCGTCCATGAACACGTGATCACTTTGTGATAATATTTCTAGGCAGTCTTGAGAAGCAAATATAACGACTATTAATTGATGGATTATCATAGAATAAAAACTTTTGCTGATTAGGTTCTGCTGTCATCGTCCACTTACCCTCTAATACGAATCGTAATCGTAATCGTAATCGCTCGGTGTCAATTGTCCGTGTTCTAAAAATATCAGGTGCAAATAGTCCGATATCGGCAAAACCGTCGGGTGTCAAAAGTCCGAATAGGTACCGGTTCATATACGTCGACAGTCGACAGTCGATGTTTTTACAGTAGTACTGCAGTCAATAGTGTACACTGTAATTGATACATTAAAGTCGAAATATTTATGCGAGTAAATATTATTTTTAAATTAACGTTCTCAGTTCAATAAGTGTTTATAAAAATGGCCAATTTATGTTTTATATGTGATAAAGAACTAAGTGTTGAAAGTGAATGTGTTTCTGTAAAGGCTAAGGGCATAGGAAATCTTATAAATTCAAGTAAAGCGCGATTCGATAATAAATGGAAGTCATTAGTGAATTTAGAAAATGTACTTGTTCACAAAAATTGCCGAAAGAGTTACACAAGACCAGACACCATAAGGAAATGTGTTAATGAAAAAGAAGGTACAAGTAATATATCACCTGTCAAAGGTAAGCTACGTTCAAATTATATATTCAAATTTAAAGAAAATTGTTTATTCTGCGACAACGAATGTTCAAAAGAGTTAGAAAAAAAATTGTGTAAAGAACGTCGAGATACTATAATACAAATATCTACCCTTCATTTCAAACAGTCAATTATTGACGTAGTGAACAAAAGAAATGATGAATGGGGTAAAGAGGTGCTCAAACGGTTGAATAGTGTGATATGTTTGGTATCCGAAGAGTCGAAGTATCATAAATCGTGTGAACGTAAATTTTGCTCGACAAATCCAGTCGATGAAAATAAGAAAAGAGGGAGACCACAAGATGAAGATTTAGCAAACGCGTTTTCCAATTTATGTGATATTTTAGAGTCAGAAAATGAATGTCAATTTGGTCTAAATTTTTTGCATGAAAAAATGGAGGGAACGTGTGATGAAAAAACTTTAAAAAATAAATTGATAAATAAGTATGGTGACGATATAATTATTACAACGAGCCGTGGAAGAAAGTCAGTAGTGAGTTTTAAAAATACAGGATTTAAAGTATTAACAAATGCGTGGTATGATTCAAAAAAAGAAAATGAAGAAGAATAACGGTTAAGAATAGTTGAAGCAGCTGCTACTATAATACGAGAGGATATAAGGTCATTTGTTTATGAGACCGATTCATTTCCTCCACCAAATCAATTTATGGATGATGTAAAACAAGATATACCAAAGACCTTATTATTTTTTTTGTCTGAAGTTTGTGGTAAAAATAAAAAAACAAAATCTCAAAAATATGATAATAAATTTGTGGCTTTGGCGCATGCCATAATAAATTGTTGTAGGCCTCGCTCGTTCATTTCACCAATTTTACTGGGACTTGGTCTTTATTTGCACAGACATTTTGGTACAAAACGTGCTATAGATATTTTTTCAAACTTTGGATTTTGTGCTTCATATACCGATGTTTATGTTTTTGAGACATCATCTTTACTATACCCACAACCCAAAGTTAACCGAAACAGTTTTTCACAATTTGTTTTTGATAACTCCGATTTCAATATTAATACGATTGATGGTTATAATAGTTTTCATACAATGGGTGGAATTCAATGTGTAGTGCCCAAAAATTCTATTCAGTGGAATGAACGTATACAGAAATTAAAAACTGTTGTTACTGCAGAAACTATGGGCAATATTGCATCAATTCCAATTATTTCATATGAAAAAACGGGTAATATGAATAACAAAATAATAATACAAGATTTTAACATTATTAGGCCTACTGTTTATAATATTACATACGATATATGTGTCTCGTATGTGTCCCCCAGCGAATTGCATGGATGTGTGCACAGTGGCTTGGTGTTATAAAATGTCCTGGTTGGAATGAATTTATGGAAACTATAACTGACTCTCGGGAATATCAAGAAACGCAAATTAGTTTTTTGCCATTTGTAAACTTACCACCAAGCTCGCCCGATTGTATTCATTCGGTTTTGATGTTCGCAGCTCAAGAATGTAAAAAATTAAACCAAAGAACGTGTTTTGTAACTTTTGACCAACCCTTATACATAAAAGCACGAAATATTGTTGAATCCTCTAAATTAAATCCACAAATAGTAGTAAGACTTGGCGGGTTTCATCTTCTTATGTCATTTATGGGTTCAATTGGTTATATTATGGCTGGTAGTGGTTTGCGAGAATTATGGAAAACTATAAATGCAGCCAATTCAATTGATAAAATGATGACAGGACATGCATATTCAAGAGCAGTACGTGCACATAATATGTTAACTCCGCTTTGTCTTTCAAAAATAATTTTGGACAAAATTGAATTAACTGAAGAATATAAAATCACTTTAAAAAATTATATTTCAAGTACAGATTATATAACGTCCACTTTGGAAGATATAGAAAACCACGAAATAATTCAAGATCTCATACGTAAAGTAGAAAATCAAATAAAAATAATTGCTTCTAGAGGTAAAACTGCTACGCTTTGGATACAATATTTTTATTTAGTCCATATTCTTCGCCAGTTTATTTATGCTGAACGCATTGGGAGTTGGTATCCGCACTATTTTTGCAGACAATAATGTATTCTTATTGTAAATTTTATGGTCTTTAATTTTGGTCATAGGTATTTTTATTGTAACTTAAAAAACTGATGAGTTATAAGCGAAAACAATGAAAGGGGCACGCCACCCTTTGAAGAGAGGTGGAGAGCTACGCACAAGGTGTAGGTGTCAGGACTTTTGGTATGTTTATAATTGATGGTTCTACCTCAAACACGATAAAAAAAAAGATAAAAATTTTTAATTTTTTATATTTTTTAAAAATATAACGCTTATTGCAACATATATATACAAAAAGTAAATAAAGTCTATGTTAAATGTTATGGTCTTTAATTTTGGTCATAGGTATTTTTATTGTAAATTGAAAAGCTGACGAGTTATAAGCGAAAATAGTGAAAGGGGCGCGCCACCCTTTGAAGAGGGGTGGAGAGCTACGCACAGGGGGTAGGTGTCAGGACTTTTAGTATGTTCATCAGTGAGGTATAAACTAAAAAATAAATCAAACTCTTGCTTTCGTGGAATTAGTTCCGAACTTTTTCCTAATTTGACTGGACTAATATTAATATTGTAGTAATAAATCCGGTCCAGTGGTCATCGTGCAGTGTGCACCGTGCACATTATTGTATGACGTCGCTGTTATTATAGTAATAACGCATTATCATATTTTAATATAAGCTAGTCTTGAAGCGCAAAAACTGGATTTCGTTTTGTCGAAATAATAATATATATCACGTTGCCGCATTAAGTAGCCCGGTGCCGGTTTTTCAAATTTTCCGCCGTTCTATACAATTTGAAAATTATATTTTATATTTCTGTTGCCACCCTGTAATCGGGGTACAATCGCATTTATTAGTGTGTGTGTGTGTGTGTGTGTGTAGTAAATGATCATAAGTGTGAGTGGCTTTCCTGTACAGCGGCCCATCTATCGTTCCACCACCGTATACCGACGTGCAGCGTGTCGCGTCTAATATTATTTTTACTGTCCTTATCTACCAGCGCTCTGATGACTATTTAAAACTGAATGTGCTCCATTGACGTTATTACTTATTCCGCTATTACCCACGTATTGGTAATATTGATTGTCAATAGTTAATATTTATGTATTTTTTTTATTATAATACTATATAAACTCACAAAAGTAATTTATTATTATAATACGAAATACAAAAATTGTTCGGCAAAGGTTCATTTTGTATTCCGTACTTAAAAATATTTCATGATACGTCTCCTATGATCTTATGATAAATTATATTATGAACAGTAGTATTTAGGCCGTACTGATGAGTAGAATTTAAACTAGTTTCAACAATTTTTTTTATTATTGAACGGTTCGGGTCAATGCAGTTATATATTTATGTGCTTCTGAGGTGAGGCTAACCTAATCCACGGAAGCAGCGCTGCGAGCGACCGAGCTTCTCAATTTACGCTCACAGCCTACTTATTGACTAATATTCTCCTCTTTACTTTAATATGTGTACCCGTATATATAATATATAGCACACAACAAATTTAATATAACGCAGCTCGATTTATATTTATTACCAACTATTTAAAATACGTATGAAATATATATATATTACTTATACCTAACTATACTTTCGTGTATCTACAACGCAATGTTGCGTTTATGTATTTCGCTCTAAAACCATTCTATAAGCAGTATTATTGGAACAAAAATTTTATGTTTTACAGTAAAAAAAATTCAATTTCGGCCGTCATGTGCTGCTTTCGTTTCTAGCGGCAGCGTTTGTCCACTCCTAGTTCCGACAAATACTAAATAGTAAATAGTAATTGTTTATATAATTTTTTCCAGAAAAAGTTACATTTAAAACTATCATTGTTTGCATAAAATATAATAATATAGGTACTTAAAACTTTCAGGTACCCACGAATTATATTATATTCTGAGCTGAGCAAAATAATGTATTGGTTTTACAAATATGTGTGTTTTTTTTTTCTGTCTGTCAGCAACATTTTGGATAGTAACCATGCTTCTATTTTTAAGATCAGCATCTTTGCTGATAAAAAAGTGAGCATATTTGGTACTTTTGTTAGTTCAAAATTTAAAATTCCAAGTAGTTTTAGAAAGCGTCTAGAAAAACTACCGACAAGTTACGAAAAACCGCTAAATATGGGATTTTATTTAATTTCTAATGCATTGTTTATCACCATAACAACAAATAAAAAATAATAATATTATAAGGATTACGCTAAGCGCTCTAAGTTTTTCATATACAATGGTTTATGTATTATATTATTATTATTATATTTTATTATTATATTATTTTATGTATTCAAATATAACACATCCATTACAACTACTCTACAGCAGAGCGGTACCCACTTGTCCAACTTTTTTCAAATTTAAAAATAATATTTGTGGATACTTGAAACTTTTAAAGTATATCATAATTTATACACACAAATACACAATAACATTTTCAAGCACAATGTCTTTGTCCATAGTTAATCCAACCAACAGTATTAGTAATAGTAAAAGAAATTAACATATAATAATAATTTCTGTTCTTCAATTAATGGGATCATTCTATAATTTTTGAATTATTCAGTGGATCATTTTTTTGAAAATGTTAATATTGGTACCTCATTCATATTACAAACGATTATTAGTTCTTAAAAAAAATTGTAAAATCATTTGGATCTTTTTGCGTTTTTTGGATCTAGTATATTATGTTACACTAGGCAATTTTCACGAATTGTAAATGTTGATGGATTATTATTAATTAATAATTATAATAATTTTAAAATCACCATTAAAAATCTCCATATCTTCCAACCTCATTATCGTGGATAATATGATCTCTGAACACGAAAATAATGAATTCAATAACTACTTGTTTGATTTTTAATTTTGATATGATACTCATAATATCGAAATACTCACTGTTATATGACGGTGGATACAAAATATACTAACGGCCTATAATTTAATAATTGTTTCTATACAGAAAAACTGCAACAAGTCCCCTACTCGCGTGATTTTCTTTATAAATTATCATACCACTTTAGTCTGCATTGGACATTCACATGTAGGTATATTTGATTGCAGCGTACATCATTATAACAGTCAAGTCTTGAATAAAGATGTCGAAATTCCTGACCATGATTTAATGATATGTGCTCTAGTAAATAAATTAGTACTTACCTATAATTACACCACTGGCATTATTTTAAAAAAAATTGTTTAACTAAATAACCTATGTGCAGTGTACACATAGATAACAATATAATTTTACTATATGGCTGTGAATTTGTTGACAAATAAATTGTGCTTTATTTTAGATTCTGAGCGTAGGGATGAATGTATTTATTTTACAATGACGTGTGTTTTCTAATTTTATTTCATTTTTTTATTTCTTATTTTTATGTCTGTCGTCTTCGTTTGGGGCAATGAAACTGTTTCGAATTTCTTCAACAGTATTTTGTTAGATTGGAAAGTGAATCTAATTGTTGCATCGGGGACGTCATTCCCAATAGTTTTCAAAAGTGCAGGGAAAAACAAAATTAAAA